TGCACCTGCCGCCGCAGAGTCTGTAGGCCCCAGGAGGCCTCTCCACAGTCCCAAGCCTCCAAACTCCCACGCTGGCCACTCAGCAGCTCTGAGATCTGAGACTGGCAGCGCTGGCCAGGCCCCGGAGACTGAGGAGTGGCTCCTCAAGGGGGCACAGCTTCTCCCTGCTGGATGCCTGAGGGAGGGTGGCATCTGATCACAGACCAGATACTTCTAAAGCACAGCTTTCATCCTGGGTGGCAGACGACTTCTGCCTGAGTTACTCGGGCTGTGTAGCCTGGGCCCCATTGAAACTGGCCCTGCAGCTAGGCCGGAACCTCCTCGGGTTCCTTCAGAGAGAGGCCAGAGGCTGTTCCCGCGCTGTAACACCTCAGCTCTATATCCCTCCCATGGCAAAACCAGGGTCTTCCTCCTTCCCGTCCCCAATAAAGTTGCTAGGGAACCTTGCTTGCAAGTGGACAGCTCCCCCGGGAGCGTACACTTGAGCACTCCTCACCCCAGCTTCCCAGGGCCTCTCCTCATGGCCATGACCCGGCTGACTCGGCCCCTGCCTTTGGACCACCCACGTGTCCTGCCTTCCTCCCACAGGCTTAATTGGAAATCTCTATCTGAATGATTCACCCCTGAAAAAATTCAGAATCTACAGCCTGGATATGAAGAAGAGCTTCTTTCAGAGGTGGGTCCCTGCCCAGCGCCAGCACGTGCTCTCATAGGTACAGCGCTGTGCAGTGCCCAGGGGTCCCTAGGGCACTGTGGCCTGGGCCTTACTGAGGTGTGAATGCACCTAGGGCCCAGATCAGCTGGCTCAAGGTGAGGGGCAGCATCCACACTGGAAGCCTCATTTGCAGACTAGGAATTCTCAGCATCTTACCCTGCTGTCGTTCTGTGTCCTGGTTAAGAGGTGGGCGGCCTTGGATGGGGAATTAGCTGCAGGACTGGGTCCAGATCTGAGGAAGGGCCTCCTCCTTCTCCTGCCTCTCATTCTGTCCTTAGGTTCGGCCCGGACAAATGGAGTTCCCTCCCAGAAACACCCACCTTCCCTGCTTTCTTCTTGAGTAGCTTGTCCGTCAGCTCCACTCCTTGTGACACGTTTCTGAAGCTGGAGGTTGGTAGCCTTCTTTCTCTGCTGGATTCTCCCACCTCCCTCTCACCTCAGAGGTCTCTGAGCCAAAGCCACATGAGCTTGGCCTGAGCCCTTGCTGGCTTCTGTGCCCAGAGGGTCTGAGAGGGTGCTGGGGCCTTCCTGGGCCTGGGGTGTAGGCTCACAGCAGAAGTCTGAGCTTGGGGGCCATGCCTGGGAGGCGTGGCACTGGGGGACAGAAATAGAGCATCCCACCTGCTCACCCTCATGGCTGTCTGGATACTGGCTCGCTTTGGTCTCTTGGACCCGAGAGAGGCACGCATGGTGTGTGTCTGCCTTCACTTTTGCTGTGGCTCTCGTGATAGACAAACACCCTTCCCTCTGTCTCAAGGGCTGGGAGAAGGGGGTTGTATTCATCAATGGCCAGAACCTTGGACGTTACTGGAACATTGGACCCCAGAAGACGCTGTACCTCCCAGGTCCCTGGTTGAGCAGCGGAATCAACCAGGTGGGAGCTTCCAGCCCCTTCCCGTTCCCTAAGATGCCCTGCCCAGCTGCCCTCCAGGGAGCCTTTGGTCAGGGTGGCGGGGATGCAGAGGTGTCAGCCGGGTTCTTCCTCCCTCCTCCTCGCTGCAGATGAGTTGTTTGGTCCCTGTCCCTTCCAGCCTGGTTCCCAAACCCTTTCCTTCTGACCCGGCTGCCTCCCAGCACCTTCCTTGGCTCCAGGACAGACTTCAGTTGCCCTCCCATCAGGGCCCTCTCTCTGCAGGTCATCGTTTTTGAGGAGATGATGGCAGGCCCTGCGTTACAGTTCACGGAAACCCCCCACCTGGGCAGGAACCAGTATGTTAAGTGAGGAGCTGCGCCCCCTCCTGCTGGCACCTGTGGGAGGCTGCCACCTCCTCCTGACTTGAAGCCTGTGGCTCCTGCCTCACCCCTCCCCTGCAAAAGCATCTCCTTCAGTAGCAATCTCAGGGACTGGGCGCTACAGTCTGCCCTGCCTCCGCTCAGAACCCTGAGTCTGCAGGGAAAGGTGGGGTGGCTCTGGGCCTGGCCGTGTTGATGATGCGTTTCCTACAGCCCTGCTCTTCTGCCAAGGCTGCCAGCCTGTCTCTGGGGTGGGAGCGGCTGATCAGATCGCCAAGCCTTTGGCCTCAGAAAAGGTGCTGAAACATGCCCCTGCCTGGAGATCACAGCCCTCGAGTGTCTGCTGGATTCAGGCGTGCTCTTTGCTGGTTCGTGGGAGGCTTGGCCACATCCCACACGGTTCCTTTTATCCCCAAAACCGTGGGCATGTCACCAGTGGAGAGGGTGGGGAGGGGGTGTCTCACCTGAGCTGACTTTGTTCTTCCTTCACAACCTTCTGAGCCTTCTTTGGGATTCTGGAAGGAACTCTGTGTGAGAAACATGTGACTTCCCTTTTCCCTTCCCACTCGCTGCTTCCCACGGTGACAGGCTGGGCTGGAGAAACTAATCCTCAGCCCTGCGTCTTCCTGTGTTAATGAGTGTCTCTGCTGCTCATTGAGGAGGATGTCTGGGTCCTGGCAGAAGCCATGGCCCATATCTGCACGTCCAGGGAGGAGGGACAGAAGGCCCAGGTCTGTGGCCCCTGCCCCGCAACCCCACGCCTGAGCAGCCCTCCCAAGTGTGTCCACATCCGCATCTGAGCCTTGTTCTGGGGCTCAGCCCAACAGCTGGTGTGGGCTCGCTGTCCTGAGTTGCAGTAAAGTGGTAGTGTTGAATCACACCCCGTCTGGTGACAGTGGTCACGTGTGCCACTCTTGCCAGAGGGGAAGGCTGTCTGGAAGATGAGTTTTGTTTTCTCGGTCAGGTTCCCCCTGGGCCCCACTGCTGCCCAGGGGCCCAGACTTGGACCATCTGTGGGGTGGGTGGGCCCTGACCCTGGGCCCATACTCTCCTGCCGACCCCACCGCCCCTTCAAATGTTGCTGGATTGGAAGTGTCCTGGAGAGGACAGGTCAAATGCAAATTCATTCTCATGCTGGTGGGCAAGGGTCAGAATCTGCCAGGCAGCCAGGGGCGCTATATATGAGTTAACTGTGGGGCTGAGTTTTGCTTCACAAACTACATCTGGCATTTACGGCCAAAAGCAAATAATCTCCAATAACAGTCAAAAAGTCAAGTAGCACACACATCCCTGGCACAGTGAGAGCTCTGAGCCCCGTGAAGGTGGTCTGGGGAATGGTGGGCGGTGGAGCTCACTGAGGCCAGCAGGCTTGCTGCCCGAGTGTGGCTGCCCAGGGGGAGGTGCAGGGGACATTCATGGTGTGCAGCCCCGCAGCTGAGCTGGGCCAAGGCCTTATTAAATGAAGCTTATTAAAGGGAAGCTTGTGGACAGTGGTTCGGGAACAAGATGGGGCAGGGTCCCCGGTTTTGCCCAAACTCACCGGTTCTTCTGGAACTGCCTTGGAACGGCAAGCCTGGGGCTATGGTGTGGATGAGACCAGGGGTACGTGGGTGTGGCCTGAGCTGGGCGCAGGTTGTCTGCCCCACTTTACCTGAGCCTGTGCTTCTGCAAAGCTGTGTGTGAGCTGCGTTCTATGAGAAAGTGATGGACTGGAATGGAAAGGAATCTTCCTGCAAATCCTCCTGTAAAGTGCCTGTTGGATCACACTTCCACGCAGACCTGAGCAGGACACACTGCCATTTCTGAAGGTGAGGTCGTCTTGTGCCAGCGTCTGATTCTTGCCCTTCTCTTCCGCCAGTTAACTCCTCAGCTTCTCTATCAAAGTACCTCTTGGCAGAACTTACTCCCCAGTGTTGACTAAAGATTTGTCCATATCTTCCACATGGTGTGGCCTCATCTAAGTCTCTTTGGAGGACCCTTTTCATACCCCAGCCTCTGAATGCTGGGAGTCTCTGGCTCACTCCTTGGACTGTTTCTTTGCTCTGTCCACATTCACTGTACAAGGTCTTACCTGACACCTGGAAGTAGGTTCAACACTCTCACCTGCTCATGCTGGCCTGCACCTGAGCTCCAGGTGTGTAGGAGGCTTTTCTGCACTTTCTTCTGCATGTGTCTAACAGGCACCTGACACAGAGCTCCAGTTCCCCACATTACCCCTCCTGCACACAGCCTCCTATCCGGAAACGGCAGTGCTGTTCCGTTTCTCAGGCTATTTTGGGCACCTCTCTTTATCTCCCACATCCAATCCAGAGGCAGATCCTACTGACTCTGCCTCCTAAACCCAGCTAGAATTTGACCCTTCTCTCTGGCCCAACCCCTATGCCCCCATTCAGACCACAGCATCTTGGCCTAGATGACTGCAGGAGGCATGCCTCCACCTGCCCTTGCCCTCTCTGTTTTTCCTCTGCGCAGGAGCAGGGCAGCTCTTCTGAGAGGTGGATAGATTGTTAGTCCTCTGTGCTGGACCCCCCATTGCCTTCTGGTTTCACCTGGTGCCTGGGGACTCCCTGCTCCCATGCCACCTCATCCCTCACTGCTGTTCGCCCCAGCAGCCCCTGCCCAGTCAGCTGAGCCAGATGGTCTTTCTGCTGCTCTACAAGCAGGCTGAGCAGCCTTTGTTCCACCTGGCGGAGAGTTCTTTCTCCTTGGACCCAGGGAGCTTCGTGTCAGGGTTTGCTGCTTTGCTCAGATGTCACCTTATCAGGGAGGCCTTTCTGGCCACCCTCCAGAGCACCGACCCTTCTCCACTGCTATCCTCCGTCTCCCCAACTCAGTGTCACTCTCCATGCAACAGATTGCATCTGAAATACCATGCATTCATTATCGCCCTCTCCTCTCATCAGTGGCTCAGTTCTGTGAAGACGGGAGCCGTCTTTTTCGTTGCTGTGTGCCGGCTCCTAGAATTACGCCTGCTTATAACAGGCATCTGATAAATACTTGTTGGGTAGCTAAATTAACAAATGAGAATAAAATAAGGCAGGGCTGAAGAGGATTAGGACTGTTAAAAACTGTATTTGACTTTTAATTTTGAAAGCAAATTAAATACAGTTAAATTAAAACAGACCAGATGCAGCTGCCTGGGTGCCACCCTTACCCCAGCCTCTGTTCTTGGAATTCCTAGCCCCTGGCCTCACTCCTTTGTGGTGGGGCTTGCCAGCAAGGGAACAGGGAACAGACTGGGTTTGGAAAAGAATCGTCATCATGGACCCATTTCTGATTTGTAACAAACTCATTCCCAACCAAGATGAAGGCTGCAGTCCACCAGGGTTACAATTATAAATAAATATACATGCAGCTAAAAGAGGATATTAGGTGAAAACATCTGACCTAGCATCTGCCAAAAGAAGTCCCCCATTTTATTGTTCATTATCAATTTCCTGAAAATGAAACCTGGGTTTTTTGCTAAGAAGGTGGCCTCAGACCAGCCAAGCTGACCTTGGCACTCAGGGCTGGCTTCCGTGAGTAAGGCAGGACAGTGCCCACACCTAAGTTCACCCCCTGTGAACCTCCCCCCTTCTCTCACATGCCACCCCACTTGCCTCCAAGGGCTTGGTTTCCAAAATGGCATCCAGGGTGTAGGAGGTGGGGAAAATGTCCCGCAAGGTGGCTCAGAGATCTGATTCCATCAGATGGTCTCATGAACACTGTGGGAGGTTAAATCCATCTCAAAATAGGCAGCCAATGCTGTATTCTGAATGTTAGGTCTCTGGACTGAGCCCCACTCACCTGCCCAGTGAGACGTGGGTTCTGAATGGCCCTCAGACCTGTCCTGGTCAGTCTTAGTGGAGTGGGAGGCTGTTAGTTAAAGAATAAATGCCTCTTCGGTAGGCTGGGGCCCTTTCCTTTTCCTCCACTTGGGAGGAAAATTGTGCTTCCAACTTGCAGGAGAATGAGCCAGACCACTATAAGAGAGCCCAGCTGGGCCAGGGGGAGCCCAGGCCCTCTCCAGCGGCCCTGGAGGCCTGGGGAGGGCGTGAGGCACATTGTTCTTTCTCTAGGGTGGAAAGTGGGCAGCCGGACATGAGGCGGGATAGCTTTGCATTCTCCCAACTTAGGGGAAGTGACATTTTCTTTCCCTTTTTTGTGTTTGGAGTAATTTCCGAAGCAGTGTGCTCAGGCCTCCTCGTGCTCAGTGTCCCAGCAGCCCCTGTCCCCTTTTCCTCCATCCCTCTGCTACTCCAGAGGCCTCCTCTTCAGACCAGGGGCAGGAGGGAGCTGCAGTTAGGGAATGGCCTTGGCCTGCCTCCTCTTTCCAGGCTGCAGGAGGTCCCGCCTTGCCCGCCACCCACTGCCTTGCCAACTGCCCACCGTGGGCTCACTCCACCCTGAGGTCTGTGGCTCTGAAGAGCTGCAGGAAAAGGCGCCTTCCCTCCCCAGTCCAGTCCAAGTGAGGGGCCTAGCAGCCCAGGTGGGCGGCAGGGAGGCAGTGTGTGGACAGAGGTGCTGTGGGGTTCTTAGTCCAGGTCAGGTAGTGACCTGTGCTGACTCTAGAGCCCACCCCTTGCCAGTGCTGGAGGAGAAGGCGTGAGGGAAGAGGGGCCAGAGGAGGGGACTCTGCTCCCGCCACAGCCTGAGGTACAGGGGGTGCCTATTAGGCCCCAGGCTCCCCCCATGCAGGGCTGGGTGCCTGTTGGGATCAAAGACAGCCTTATGCTCTGTAAACATGAACCAGAGGAGAGCCACAGAGGTATGTCTGATTTGCGGGCAGCTCTCGGAAAGAGCAGGGGCTGGGGAGAGGAGCAGCGCGTTTGTGATGCCCCTGGCCTGCTCTCTGGTCGTCAGAATTCCCTGTGTGTTCGTGCTGGGCTCAGGGGCAGGGAGCCAGGGAGAGCCGTGCTCCACTTGACTGCAGGGTCTTCTCATCTCTCTCCCGCCCGCATCACTGCAGAGCTGGTGTGGGTGCCACTGCCCTGCTCCTGCAGCCCCGGCAGTGCGGGGAGCTCTGGGGAGGCTTGCTGGAGCAGCGGCTTGGCTGGCGCTGGACACCCCACCCTGGCCCTCAGGTCTCTTGGGCCCTGGTCACGCTGGATGGAGAGAACAATAGGTCTGGGATTTCTGTGCTTAAATTCTGTCCTTTGTCCTGGCATCAGGCTGGGCTCTCTCAGAAGCCCCCAGAATAGAAAGGAGGGTGATGGTGATTCCTTAGGAGTCGGCCTTGGAGGGACCATCAGCCATGGGGAGAGGATGGAAGGCCAAGAACAGGGTCTGAGGAGGAGGCTCCTGTGAGGGGAGAGGAGGAAGCAGTGAGGTGTCGGCTCAGGGTGGGGCCGGGGAGGGAAGGGCCAGGCAGCACCACCAGGACCTCTGCAGAGCCCAGGGCCCCAGGTCCTATGGAGGCCTATTTGAGGGGCAGGTGGGGAAGGTGAGGGCAGGAGGCAGGAGGCAGGAGCGAGGCTCTGTACAGATGCATTCTAAGTGGTGCTGGCCAAGGTGACTGGGTGACACCCTGCGGCCCTGCAGGCAGGGGGATGCAAACACCGTTCAGAAAGTTGCCTAGCTCCAGGGCAAGAGGTCAAAGGTCTGTCTCACCACCTAAGCCCCCACCTCTGTTTGGCATAACCTAGAGTAGGGAGTCAGGAGTGCCAGCTGCTTTTAAGAGACAGGATAAGATCACAGAAAAGCCTCTGAAAATGCCTGGCTTTGCCAACCACTCAGCACAGTTCACTCAGCCAGTGCATCACCTTGGAACGTCCATTTAGCTTTTCCCAACATCATTTCTTTGCCTCTGAAGTGTAGGTGGATCCTGTGGCCTACTTCCAGAGAGGGCTTTAAAGATGCGAATCAAAATAGCCACACTCATGAGACTTATGTGCTGTTCTAGGTGCCCTCGGCAACCTACTTCACAGATGAGGAAACTGAGGCCCAGAGAAGTCAGATCAAACAGCGAAGAGGGGTTGCTGGGCGCTGAGGTGGGCTCTGGCTCCGTGCTGTCACTCTGTGCTACCTCTTGCTATGACAGCCGTGGGCTCGCTGCTGTCAAGCGGCGAGTCCGTGAGTCCTCACCATGGCCACATGGTGAAGGAATCCACAGGGGAAGAGGCACACTTGGGGGTATAGACTCTGGCCAGTGAGAGTCTGAACAGCAGTGACTTGTGGGGTGCAGGCGTCACTGCCAGCAGAACAATCATAGCGAGGTGTCTGGAAGGTGACGCCCTCTGAAGAGTCTGGTGGCAGAAGGACCCAGCTGCATGGGTGAAAGTTAATGCCTGGGGACTTGTAGGTGGCCCAGTGGGAAGGGGACTGTGGTGCCACCTTCCGCTCCTGCCCACATTTGCCTGTCCTCCACAGTGACAGGCCCAGAGGAAAAGTGTGAGAGAGCTGATTTGGCCCACCTGGTGCCTCCCTGCCCAGTGCGTGGGCCCCCCTCGACGTGCCCATACCTGCATCCTGAGGCTCAGATCTCCACCGAGGGGTCAGTGAAGCCCTTCTTGCCCTCATTCACCAGCACTGGCTTCTCTGTCCGTGTGTGCCACACCAGGATCTGTGTGCCCAGAGATGCAAGACACAGTGGGCCAGGCCCCTCACCTCACTCTGCTGCCACCCTGCTCCCTCCCACACCGTGCACACATTTCTCCAGCCCCTCCCTTTCCTTCAAGAGTTTTTCAATTGTTCCATCAAGATTTTCTCAATTGTTTTATAGTTATTTTCTGTGGCTCTAGACTACCCCCTCATTTTTGCTGTTTGGACCTGTGATGCTTACCTGCTGGAAATGGGAAGTCTAGAGCTACAGAAAAGAGAAACCCCAAGACTTCCCGTGTGTGTGTGTACATATGTATGCATGTTCATGTGCATGTGTGTGTGCATGTGTGCATGCGCAGGCGTGTTTGTGCATGAGTGCTCAGCAGGGAGGTCCTGGAGCACAGCTGTTCTCCCTTTCCCTGCCTGTCTGCAGTGTCACTGCCTCACAGGTGATAAACTGCCTTCCTGGGAGGAGGTTTCAGGAAGGAAGCCCAGCTGTTTTGAGGCCCTTGTTTCCTTCTCCCGATCTGTAGGGAAGGTCTGGATGTACTTGAGACACCTGTGTCACAGCTGTCAGTTCTGCGGAGGGTCTCACCTTGGTGCAGTTGGCTGCCTTGGGCTCTAGGTCATTGAGGGTGACAAGTTCTCGAAGGAGGCTGCTTTCCTGGTAGCCTCCCTTCACGCCTCGCAGCTTGAAGTAGGCCTGGCTTCGCTGTAGAATGAGCCGCAGGTTGACTGCAAATCCAGCCATGTCTATTGCAAACGGCCGGTGGGGGTCAAACACCGTCTTCCAGCCGACCACCTTCCCTGCCCCGTTCACCCGTGGGGCCTCGTACCGCAGGCCGCCCACAAAGGCGACAGGCCACACGGACACCCTCCTGGTGCTGCGCATCTACAAGCAGGAGGTCCAGAGTCAGGGCAAGGCACTGCTGACAGGGAGGACGCCTGTGCCCAAGGGAGACGACATCCATCAGCCGCCTCTGTGTCCATGGCCAGCCGAGGCCACCCAGGGGAGTCCAGTACAGCCCTGCCCCCCAGGGCCCATCCCATGGGTTGGGCACTTGAGAAGAACCTGCCCCGAGCTGCGGGGGAGACCTGGCCTCTCAGACAGCCTGGTCTTGACCTTCTCAACATGGCCCTGCTGCTGTTTTCTCCCTCTCTCCACTTTAGAGTTTGAAATGACTCCCCATCTCCCTCAGACTAACACAGCTACCATACACTCAGGCAAGCTCAAACTGTTCCACCGAAGAGGTTTCCGGTAGTCACGGAATGACCCACTCACAGCCCCCATTCAGAGGATACCTCTAGGGCCAGGAACACGGTTCAGGGGCTCCAGAGCCACCTGCCTTCCCCCTAACTTGTAGGGGATGCTTTAACCCGCAGTTCCATCCCTTTCCGCGTTCTCCGCTGCCCGCCCGACCCCAGCCCGGCAGGCACTGCTTCTCGATTTCCCTCTGTGCCTGCCTCCACACCGGCCACTCCTCCTGGGAAAGCCCCTCTGCCACCCGCAGCCGGACGTCCCCTGCTCTCTGTTGGGCCCTCCGCACCTCTTCGAAGAGCTCCAGGCTGTAGGTGTTGTCGTCGTCGGCAAAGTACACCACGCCGGGCTGGCTGGAGTTGCGCGGGAAGGTCTCGCGCAGCCAGCGCAGGGCCAGGTTGCGCTGCATGGTGCCCCGCGGGATGCGCGGGTCGCGGGCGTCTCCGCGCAGTTTGTAGTTGCGGGGCGTCTCCACGTGCAGGTGCGTGTAGTTGAGGCCGGTGTCACGCAGCAGGCGCGCGGTCAGCGGGGTCCTGCGCGGCGCGTCCTCCACCACCAGCCAGTGAAGGTTGGGCACGTGCAGCAGCGTGTTGGCCATGCGCGTCAGCTCGGCCTTCTGCACCGGGCGGCTGTAGGTGGGCGTCACCACGTGGATGGTGGGCAGCGTGTCAGACCATGGTGGGGGCCGCGTGTACACGTACTCGGTGCGCACCACCTCCACGATGTCGCGGTCAGACATGCAGTACTCCCTGGGGTCTGCGCCGGGTGGCGCGTCGCGTCGGGGGTCACTGCTCTCATCTGCGGAGTTGGGAGGTAGGCGATGTGGGGAGGAGAACGCTGGCTGTGGCCCCAGATTCAGAGCAGGAGGTCACCCACCCTGCCAGGGACCCCTGTCCTCCTCCCCTGCAGGGCTGCTCGGCCTTCTGCCTCGCCTGACCTCTTAGCGTTAAGGTTGAAATCGGCAGCCCTGCAATCCTCCCTGTGCGGGTCCTAGTTCTGATGCCTGGAATGACATAGAAATGACCTCTTCCTTCTCACCTTGCAGCCCTCTAGCTGTCTGAGTGAAGCTGCCCATAGTCCGAGATTGAATGCTCAGTTCCTAAATGTGCTGATTTCTTATGACAAAGCACCTTGACCCTCCCCTCCCTAGCTCTCCTTATCTGGCATCTGGCAGGAGCTGGCCACACTGCACCGTGCAGGGCTGGGCCAGCAGTGCACGTGGCACTGCCCGCTGTGGCGTGGAGGCCACAAAGCCCCAGGGCCACACCAGCAGCCGGAGCACACCGTGGGCCTGCAGGAACCTGAGGCAGCTCCCGGAGTTCTCCAGCCCTCCAGTCAGGTGCGACCTCTTCCCTCCTGGCCTTATGTAATGTGTCCTCTAAATCTTGGTGCAGAACTTCCTATTTAACCACATTTGATTCCTGTGGGTTTTGCCCATAGTTGCCAAGATTTATGCAGCTGTAACAGTCCTAGCAAGAGGAGGAATCAGAGGCCTTTGGGATTCTTGTTTTCCATGTGTCCCTTCTCTCCAAATTCCATCTTTCCCTTGGCAGGGCTCACGCACCAATGCCCTCAATGTCCTGGCTCACTGTTGGGTGGTAAGGGTCAGGGGCCAGACCTAGAAATCCCGATGCCTGGGCTCAGACCCAGTCCAGTTCTGCCAGTGCAAACCCCATGCCTTTGAGCAAGCTGCTTAGCTTCTGGTGCCTCAATTTCAGTGACTGTAAGATGGACCTAATAATAGCATCGACCTTATGAAGTTACTGTGTGGATTAATGAGTCGACACATGCCAGGGGCTGAGAGCACCGCCAGGCACAGTTTCCTCTCTCGTGGAAGGGCAGTGGCCAACTCTGCTCCCTTCTGGCTTCAGGCAATCATGGTGGAGACTGAACAAGCCAGTCACACAAAAGGGGAGGACCCTGTGCATCGGCTCTTCTGCTGCCTCCCTCAGGCCACCGCTGTCATTGCCAGCACGCAGGGTGAGGGGGATGCTAGTGTGGAGACCATTGAGACGGACCCACGAGACCTGCTCTCGGCTCTTCAGGAGTTCTCATGGCAAATGGCACAAGGCACACAGCAATTGCTGGGGGCTGGAGGAGGACACCAGCACAGACGCAGTTGCTCAGAGGGGACTGTTTAGAAAAGTCTGGGGTCAGATTGTGAGAAGAGCAAGGTGGAAGAAACGGGGATGGGTTCTAGGGTTCTGACCTGGATAGAAGGTTCAATTTATCCTGTGGGTAGGAATGTTTTGGAAACTGAGGCCTTGGGAGGAGGTTTAGAGCCATTATGTCTAGCGCTCTGCCATCCAAATCATCCAAGCCCTCGGAGGACCTGTGCCTTGGGAAAGTCCCTGTGTGTTAGGACTCAGCTTCTGCCTGAGCTTCTGCCCCTCCTGCGGCTTCCGGGCGTCTGCAACTCTGGGTCCTAACAGCCTCCTGGTGATCCTAACTTCACTCAGCTGCAGCTTTCATTTGCTCGCTCTTGGCATGCTCTGGGGAGACAGAGTGCCAAGTCCCCAGCCTCAGGCAGCACCGTCTGTGCTTAGCAAACAGCCTGACGTCTCCAGCCCTGGAGCTCCGCCAAGAACGCAATCGACACGATATCATGTCGCTTTATATATAGTAGTTTTAACCCCTCTAGAGTGATGTATTTGCAGGATAACAATGATTCTAAACTGAGAAGCACTGAGAAGAGGCACAAGAGTCGGGAGGAGGAGACGATGTCCAGAGGAAACGCGACACGTGCCCAGCCATGGGCGGTGGGCTGTAGCAATCTTGAGCTTGACCCTTCCTCATGGAAGCTTCAGGAACAGCTAGGGGTTTGCAGGAATGCGGTATTTGTGTGGAGCAGCACAACTTCAGGCTGTGATTTTTGGACACTGCCTGCATCTTGGGGTTACAGGCACTCACCACCTCTCTCTGCATGGGCTTGGGTGCCTTCTTGTTTATCACGCTGCCAGGTGATATGCACACTGCAATCGGAGAGCAGCTGCCTGCCCCCACGTGTTGGGCTTGTGCAAGTTGGGGAGGGGGCAGAAGAGAGCACAAGACAAAGCGCTAAGGAGCTGGGGCAGCCAGCTGTGTGGTGCATGGGAGAAGCTGGGGCAGCCAGCTGTGGGGTGCATGGGAGGTTTGGGTATAGAGAGCTCAGTGTCAGAGGGAAAGGCAACCCAGGACCCAGAGCCAGGGGAAGGCAGTTCTACCCTCAGTTCTTCCACTAGGCCTTCATGGGACTTTTCCTCTCTCTAGCCCTATTTCCACCAGGCTGCACTAGATCAGGGTTTCCTATGCAGGAAAAGAAGAGCAGCAAACAACATACTCTCTAGGAAAGGGTTTAAAGCACACTACAGGCCAGAAATCGTATTGCTCCCCCACCATCCACTTCAGAATGGTCACTTTCCTTACACGTCATGAAATGGCATGTGAAGTTGTGTGTGCTCGTCTTTCTGTGTATCTGTGTGTGCTAATGATGTTTGTTTTTAAAGTTTTTCTGTATTTTATGACACGTTGACATCTCGGGGCCCTGCAGATCTGGGGAAGGACTGTTCCTCCCAGGGCTAGCTAATTCCTGGTGACACTCAACACCCTGCCTGCAAACACACTTTTCTCATGCGAACTACCTGAGCTAGTGCTCACACCCACCATTGCCTTTATGGAGCTCTCCCACCCAAGCCAATCTTCCCCTGCCCTAGACCATCCCAGGGCGATACCAGACAATTAGAAACCGCTCCTGTATCCTAAACCCACTGACATGCTTCAGACCGTGCAATTCTGAGACAGCTCAGCTGCTGACGGTGCTTCGCTCTTCCCTTCCTACCAAAACCACTTCCCTTCCTACGAAAACCAGGCTAAAGCCTCCCATTCCCTCCACTCCACGCCCCCCACTCCCCCCACTTCCCGCCTCCTACCCCAGCTTTTCCCCAGGTGGCATGGTGTGCCCCCTCCTCTTGGATGCTGAGAGTAACAAGCTCTTCTTTCAAGGAAGTTGTCTTGGTGTCTGCCGACCTACCATCCTGGACCTCTTAAAACAGTGTGTGGGTAGCTTCCATTAGATTCCCATTCCCAGAAGGGTGTAAGACCCATGAAGGGGCCTAAATGATCCCGGGGTTCCTCCCAGCTGCTTAGTGAGTACCAGCAAGAACCCTTGCATGTCAGCTGTAGTCACTGTCACTACCAGGGCCCGGCTGGGCAGGCGGGGCGCATGTGCATGCTCACCCTTATGCACCGCAAGCAGGGGAGCCAGGGTGCTCTGGTGCCAGACGGTGATGAGCAGAGTCCAGGGCAGCACGATGAGGACGATCGCTAGGATGTCCCGTCTCTTCGGCATCTCCAAGGCTGGCTGCACCCACGGCTCCTCATTACCTGAGTGGCGGTAAGGTCAGGAGAGGGGCGGCCACAGGCGGCGGCAGCACGGGGGAGAAAAGAACAGGCATGGGCCGGGCCGGCCAGGCATGGAGAGGACAGAGCAGCCGAATGTTGGCTAGCAGGTCTTACCAGCACTCACAACCCACCCATTGCGGAAGCAGGTTTGGAGAGTCCGGCCCGGCTGGAGTCTGAGAAGGGGTCACTGTCCAGGGGCGGCGGTCAGGAATTCTGGGGGGTGGACACCTGCAAGAGAGAACAGAAGCGGATAGCCAGAGACCCAGGCAAGGGGGTGGGTGCCGGCAAGGCCTGACCCTACAGTGTCGGGGGTTCCACAATGGAGCCTCACTGTCCATCGCCTGAGGGCCTCTTCTGTCTGCCTGCCTGGGTAGATGGGCTCTGTCCTTCCCACAAGCACAGGGCCGTGGCGCTGCTCAATTTATGAAAGTCAGTAGGATGCAGGGGTCAGAAGCACAGACTGCAGAGACACCAGGTTTAAATCTCAACTGTACCACCCGTAGGCGGCAACTTGACCTTTGCCAAGTTGTGTCAGTTCTCTGTGCCACAGTTTTCCCATCTATAAAATGGGGCACTGTGGGTCCCTACCCCATAAAGTCATCTCAGAATTAAATAGGGTAACTCCCATACAGCCCTAAAACGCTAGCTACTTTCAAAGCCTGGATAAAGGATAGGTTTCTCTCTCTCTCTCTCTCTCTTTACCCCATATATACCATAAATTATTATATTAAAAATAATTTCAACATTTATTTTAGATTCGGGGTACATGTGCAGGTTTGTTCTAGGGGCATATTGTGTGTGATGCTGAGATTTGGGGTATGATGGATCCCGTTGCCCAGGTACCAAGCATAGAATCCGCTAGGCCATTTTTCAGCCCTCCTTCCTTTTAGAGTCCCCAGTGTCTACTGTTCACATGTTTACGCCCATAAGTACCCAAAAGCTCTCACTTTTAAGTGAGAACACACTGTATTTGGTTTTCTGTTCCTGTGTTAATTTGCTTAGGATAATGGACTCCAGCTGTGTTCGTGCTGCTGCAAAGGCCATGATTTCATTCTTCTCTATTGCTGTGTAGTATTCCATGCTGTATATGTACCACATTTTCTTATGCAATCCACCACTGATGGGTACCAAGGCTGATGCCATGTCTGTGCTATTGTGAATAGTAATGCGATGAGTGTACAGGGGCAGGTGTCTTTTTTGTGAAACACTATTCTCCTTTGGATATTGCTTTCCATAGTGGCTGAACTAATGTACTTTCCCACCAACAGTGTGTAAGTGCTCCCTTTTCTCTGCAGCCTCACCAGCATCTGATGTTTTTTGGCTTTTTTTTTTTTTTTTGAGACGGAGTTTCACTCTTGTTACCCAGGCTGGAGTGCAATGGCACGATCTCGGCTCACCGCAACCTCCTGCCTCAGCCTCCTGAGTAGCTGGGATTACAGGCACGTGCCACCATGCCCAGCTAATGTTTTGTAGTTTTAGCAGAGACGGGGTTTCACCATGTTGACCAGGATGGTCTCGATCTCTTGACCTCGTGATCCACCCGCCTCGGCCTCCCAAAGTGCTGGGATTACAGGCGTGAGCCACCGCGCCCGGCCCGTTTTTTGGCTTTTTAATAATAGTCGCTCTGACTGGTGTGAGATCGTATCTCACTGTGGTTTTGATTTGCATTTTGGTGACAGTCTTTTGACGACAAAGAAGAGATGTTTCTGGGATGGGCCCTGGGGTAAGTGCCAGAGTGCCTTCCTCTTTGGTGTCAATAGGGAGTCCTTGGGGAGCACCGCTCTGGGCAGGGCAGAGCACCAGGTGCTGCGCTGGGCAGCAGCAAGGAGAGGGGTCCCCACAGGGGCTGCCACATTGAGGGGAGACAGTCCTCCACTGACAGCAGCAGGGGCCCAGGTGAGAAGAATGAGCCGCTGGGGTTCCTTGGTCCTGTCTAGGGTCAACTGGTAGCATCCTTGGGACCTGTTCTCTCACATGACAAGGACACTCAGTGCAGACACTTCCTGACCGCCTTGGAAACTGTCACATCCTTTTCTCCATTTTCACTTCTGTGTCGAGCACCGTGCATGATGCAGCAGGGACCCATGGGGGTGGCGGGGAGGGTGGGCAGCCTTGGGCAGCCCAGCCAGCCTCGCTGTAACCACCTGTCCCAGTGCCCAGCATTGGGCAGGGACAATGCCTCACCTGGCGGCCATGCTGCCTGCTCCCGCCCCAGCTCACGTGTGCTTGCCATTTCAGGCAGAGTTGAGAGCTGTGGCTGAGGAGGGTATTTGGCCCCTGAGTTTCCAAAATAGTGTGTTTTTCTCTCCTCATCATGTCCTATCTCCAAATAGTTCTGACACCTTGTAGAAGACCAGGATTTGTCTTCCATTAAGGAGCACCATGGTTTCCCCCTGCTCACACCTGCCATCAGAGGCTCACTCTGTCCCAAAAGTCTCCTCCACCCATTCCATGGGGAGTGGAAGACCACTGGGGTTCAACGTCACAGCTGTGTAGGAGGGAGTGGCCGTTCTAGGCTGTGTGTGTCTGTGTCCCCCCCAAACTCCTCTTGGCTGGCCCAGTGAGGGACAGAGCCTAGCACCCCACACGGGATGCCTGCTGGGTCTCGTGTGAGATGCCAGTGACCTCACGCCACATCCTGCAGATGTAGCCTGTCCCTCCACACTCAGGCCACTCCTAGGGCTGCATGAGGCTGTGCGTCAAGACACGTTTCGGCAGGCACGGTCTCAGGCCACATCTGATGAAGGACAGGGAGGCTGGGCCTGGCTGATGGTTCAAAAATGTCGCGGAAGATTTCTTCTGTGTTCTCAGAGACTCTTGAAGGAGCTTTCTCAAGTGCCCTGGTTTTGGTGAAGCTTCTAATACCAGGATGGAGAAAGCCAAGGAGAGAAGATGAGTGTCATGCCAGCTCAGTCCCTGCGGGCCACTCCCTTTCCTTCGGGGCAGCCTCTCGGCCCCTGCCCACTCTGGGACCTGCTCAGCCTCCCTCGTGCCTGCTTGGGCTGTCATTCATACAAGCTTTCCTATAGTGTGCGAGGTGTCCAAAGATGAGGCTCAGCGCTTCACATGCACCTGCTCCTGCAGCGTCACAGCACCCTGTGCGGTAGGCATGGCTGTGTTCCCTGTGGGTTCATCCAGGCCAGAGAAGGGGAGTAACTTGCCTGAGGTCAAGCATTAGGAAATGGTGGAGCCGGTATTGAATCTAGGCCATCTGGCCCTGTGCTGTTATCAGGGGCATGGGATGAGAGGTCCCAGGCCCCCAAGCCTCCTGAACCTGGGCCAGGCACAGAGTGGGCAAGGGGCACACAGAGGCCAAATGCTTCCTCCGACCTGGACCACAGCTACCTTCCTCTGAAACAGCTGCCCGCACCACGGGGCCCCAGCACCTGCCTGGAGGCTGGAGCAGGAAGGAGGGGCGGGAAGGGAAGAGAGGGAAGGACGGAGCCTGCAGGCAAGGGTGCTGTAGGGAGCTTTCTGCTCCCATCCAATCCTTTTGGTCAAAACATCTATGAGAGAAAAGGGAGGGGTGAGAGGGAGAAAAGCTCTAAAAATAAACTTAGCAATAAACCCAGTTGTGCATTAATTACTCTGGAAGCCATTATGGCTTGAAAACCCCATAACTTTAATGGAGGCTATTATAAGCATAGTAGCAAAATCGTGGAGCTAATTACCAGGCGGTTATCAAGCAGAACACGGAGAGCCCCCAGCCTGGAGAACGCCAGCTGGCCGGCAGGGGGCGGGTCGTGGGACGTCATGCCTGGGCTGGGCAAGGGGCCTGGGGCCAGGCAGCGGGGTGGGCTGCACCTGCGCCCAGCTCCGGGCCCCAGTCTGAAATGGGGCTGCAAGGTGGGCCAGTGCTGGTCCCTTCTCACAGCCTGCTGCTTCTGCCTGGGGCTTGCAGGAGGGTGGTGTTTGCCTGTGGTTGCAGGCTGTCTCCAACAAGGACCCCACAGTGGCTTCTGGACCCTTGAGTGGGGCAGAAGAATCAGCACAAAGGTGCAGGAGTGGCTTGGCCACACCCAGGAGAGCCGGGGAGGGGAAGAACGGGGTGCTGGAGGAGGAGTTGGGTAGAGGCACAGCGGGGACGTCGTGGAGAGGCAGGGCGTGGCCTGGGCAGTGTGTGTGAGTGCGGGGCCCAGGCCTGCCATGGTCACAACTCCCACCTGACACTCGTACCATGTCTGTGACCGACCTCATGCTCGGGCGTCTCGGCAAGTACAGACCCGAGAGCCTGTGGCCTGCCCTCCCCGGCTGTCCTCAGAGCCTCAAGTGGAAGCAAGTGCTGCCCTGTCGGGTAGTGGAGGGCGGTCCCCGGGTGGGGAGCAGAAGCTGGGGCAACACGAGGAGTGGGAGGGTGGCGGCCTGGACGAGTCTGGCAGGCGCTCCACGGGGACCTGGAGCCACGTGCCCTCCTGGACCTCATCTTCCCAGTAGGGAGGCTGAGTTGGAAATTTCAGCGATCCTGCCATTTGAGCAGCTGGAGGTCCTCTGCGAGGACGTAGGATGTCCTACGTGGGAAAAGTGCAGCTCAGCGAGCTCCAAGGGCCAGAGGCAAGGCAAGAACGCCGACAACACAGCCTCCCGTGGAACTGAGTCCTGACTTAAGGGCGAGTAAGCCCGCGGAGATTGGCCATGCTGGGGACACCTCTCTGCAGGATTTTGTGGCATTTTGTTTTGTTTTGAGAGACAGGGTCTCACTCTGTCACCCAGGCTGGAATACAGTGCCATGATCACAGCTCACTGCAGCCTTGGCGTCTGGAGCTCAAGTGATCCTGCTGCCTCAGCCCCCCAAGCAGCTGGGACCACAGGTGGATGCCACCATGTCCAGTTAATTTAAAATTCTTTTTTGTAGAGACAGGGTGTCACTATGTTGCCCAGCTAGTCTCAACCTACCGGGCTCAAGAGATTCTCCTGCTTCAGCCTCCCAAAGTGCTGGGATTATAGGTATGAGCCATGGCAGCTCCAGGGAGGAATTGTCTATGGGTTTTAGGGTGGCGTGGGATGTGAATAAGGACTAGGGGGTGTCTGGGACTCAGATGGGAAGGCTCTGATCGGCCCAGGCTGAAGCAGAGCATGTGAGGCTAGAGCATGTGCAAGGCTGGTTCAAGGCTGGCCGATTCTAAATGCATAGAAGGATTTTCTTCCAAGCTGCAGGTGTTCAAACGAAGGCCTCAGCAATGCCCCAGTCCCTGAGGAGAGGAGCTTATTTAATTTCACTCAACAAATAT